AATTCAAATGCTCAAGCACTAGAATCTATCTTTTTCCGTACTTGTCAAAGTTTTGATCTTTATTCTTTAGAGTAGTATGACCCACATCAGGTTTACTATTCCATGGATGATTCCCTCTGAAGCATCGAGTTCTTCTAGTACACTCCAAATCTTATCATGCCAAATGTTATTGCATTTATCTTATGACCTTTATTAAGGCCAACAATTATGGATTTTGATGTTATGATCTATTAGATTTTAGAGACATTTTTATTCTCAATCAACTCCCATTTATGCATATATAAATTTCGTATTAATGCTAAATTCTATTGTTTTACTATCATAGACTTAATTTCATAATGCTAAATTCCATGAGTCCTAAGCGAGAATTACATTAATTCTTCCGGCTTGAGAACTTCCACTCAGTTGGTAAATCAAATAGTTTTATGTGATCTCTAAATCTTCCAATAATCGAACTATCACTCAGCTGACAATCAATATATTTAAGTGTGAATCTCACTAGTTCTACTGACTTTAGCATTCATAACAATTTATGAATTAAATGATATCATGTAATTCAATAAAGTAATTTCATGATATGCAATAAAAGTATAGGCTTGTACGTTTATCCAATTATAACATATACCATAATATCACAAATTAGTTCTTCTAGAATATAATTCCAATTATAATTGAAGAATAAAACTCACATCATTTAAGTTTTATTATGCAAAGTCTCAACCTCACATTAATATCTGTTGCAAAACAATCCCAATAAAATGGGAAGTGACATCAAAATTCTCATATTTTACTTATTACAAAAAAAAATGTCCCAAAAATATTTACGAGTTCCATCAGGTCATATTTCAATTCCATTTATTAATTTCAATAAGCATGTAGCTTTTTAACTAGTTCTATAACCTTTGTTTTTCTAGCATTCTCTCTAAAGACGCTATAAGTGTGCATAAATCCAATAATATTTGATCAGATACAAAAATTGGAAACAACTTTATAATGGATCGCATTACCTAATCAAAGACTCTCACAACCCATGAACATATATAAATGTGGTATTTTAAATACTTTCAAATTATTTTTTTATTTCAAAAAAAAAATTGCACTTCAAAAAAATAACCCCCACTAGCCAAATATTACTTAATAAATATTCTAGATTTTGTAAAAAAAAATTTAGAACTTAATCAAGTGAAAAAAATATTTTTAACGCTTTTCACAAATTTATTTTAAGCATTAAATACAACAAAAATATTTTTAACTATCTAAAAATTAATATAACTATACTGAAAATCAAGAATAATTCAGGGACCAATCTGTAAATTTCAAAATTGAAATCAAGTCTCATATGCGCCCTCACATGCGAGATCAATCTGCATTTTCTTAAAGTAATAAGAAAAATGGGGGCATCGGGCCACCACTCCGTCCTTGGAAATTTTTATCGATTGATCATTTTGATTAATTTTGAAGTTCTGAGTTCATCGTGTGGTCAGATTCTAAAAAATTAATTTTTTTAAAGCCACATTTAGGATATCAACATATCTAATCAAGAGTGAAAATGATAACAAACTCATACAAAATTTTCAGATTTTCGACCAAACTTCGAGAGATCGTAACTTCTTCATTTCAAGACCAAAATTAATGATCTTAATAATGCTGAAAGGTCTCCAGAAGACCTATCCAACCATATCAAATGGAAAGCATGAAATGAAGTGTAAAAGAAGTTATCATGTGATGAGATTTCGGATTTTATCGATTTTCACACACAAAAAACAAAAGATTTTTATCCCAAATTCAGGAGAGCACATCTTCTTCATTTCAAAGCCAAAATTTATGTTTTTTTATACTGTTGGAAAGGTCCTGAGAAGATCTATCTAATCATACCAAATAGACATCATGAAACACAATGTGAAATAAGTTTTATGTGATGAAGTTTCAGATCTTACCCATTTTAAGGCAAAAATTCCGATTTTCATCCGAAACTTCGAAGGCTCATAACTCCTTCATTTTAAGTTCAAGATTTGATTCTTTATGTGGTTGGAAAGCTTATGAAAAGATCTTTTTAACCATATTAATCTTATTACATGAAGATGAATGAATAGATAGAAGTAAATATTTAAAGTTTCTACAATTTTATGTAGGTTTCGTTTTTCTCCAAAATTATAAAACCAAAAATTTCGAAATTTTCCACATATGATCTACATCATATAAGGAATATGCTAGAAAAATTTCGTAAATTTATGTTGCATATTTCATGGCATGCCATTAATAATGCTTTAAGTTTCAACAAAAAGGGCATACGTGCATTTTACAACATAATAATTCCATTTATAGCAAGATATTATGCAAGAGAAACAACTTTTATGGCTCTAATAACAATGTAATAATCTGTAGCATTCTTTAACATAAATTTTCGATCAAGAATCCTTACTTGAAAAGATTAATTGTAAGATCTTTTGAATGGTTTAATCACCTTACTTTCTAAATCTTCAAATCTACAATTTTCTTGCACTCCAATGGCCCCAATCCAAATCACAATGGAAGGGCATTATTATTCACAATCTAATTGCCTTATTTTTTGAGTTTTATGCTAAAATAGTGATTTTATGATCTTTCCAATTTTGGTGATATTTTTCATATGAATTTCACCATTTTTCTTTCTAAAAAATGTTAGACAAAAAATTGGAGGTTGAATGGGAGGTAAAGGTGATTATAAGGAGTTGTAGGTTTAAATTTCAAGTTCAAAGGATTCCCTCCAACCCTTTTAATATCTTGTGGGTCGAGTCACCTCACATGGGCGATCTACGACTCGTATTTTCTAACAAATTAATTCTATAGATTTTTATCTAACTGAAATCAAAATTCATAAGCTTTTCTTTGTTCATCCAAAATCCAAATCCTGTTGTTGCACTAGAAGTTAAAATAAAGACGTATTATTCATTCGAGTCCTGATTCCCTTTTCATTTGTTTTTGAATGTACTAAAACATTAAAGAAAAAAAGAACTGTATATTAGTAAAATTTAAAAAAATAATAATAAAAATAAAAATAAAATAAAGATAATATCCATAAATAATGGGATACTTTTAAAAATGGTGTTGTCGAAGGAGGAAAATTTCATTTTGACTTGTTGAATTCTTAAAATTATAACAATGGCCTATTGAGTGTTAAAAGACAAAAATGCCCTTAAATGTATTATGCAATTATAAAAGAAGGTTTTGTTTAAAAGACATTATTACCCTTTTGTTAACAAATAAAAATCAAACACTTCCCACTTAAAATATCAAAATCAGCAAACTTCTCATATCTGTTTACTCCAACACAGATAAAAACGCTTTCATCTTTCATCTGCTAGAAGCTTAAGATTTGAAAAATTCATCGAACGCGATAGCTAAAAAAAATTTATATCAATCTCATCAAATCAGTAAGTTTATAATACGCATATTTAATTTTCTTTTCGTTAAATTATTTTACGTTTGTATAGATAAAATTTATTTCGATATATATGTTAATGTAGATAGTTTTATTAATAGATCTGTGAAAATTTTTAACCTTTTCAAGAGAAAAAATTCATCTGCATTAATATTGAAAAATTAATCTGTAAAATTTTGGTGTATTTATTCTACCGAACAGCGAATTTGAATTGTCGGCTGTCCAGTTAACAGTTGAAAAAACCCCGGCTGGACAATCGAAAAATTTAACAGTCGATTGGACAGTCGGATGGACAGTCGGCTTGAACAACCAAAGCTGGCTGTTTTAAAAATTATGTTTTCCCCTATTTCGTTCGATATTTTCTTGCAATTAAAAAAAAAATTTTGTCACGCAAATATGGTTGTAGTCCCAATTTGTTACTTTGATGATTTCAAATTGGATGAAAAAGATCGATGAGTATGGAAATAAACGAGCGATAAACGTAGTGGTATCTAAATTTCCATAACAGAAACAACATATGCAGAACTATATAATCTTTTATAGAACAAGCTAAATGTCGATCTCTCTCAGTATGACATGGAATTGAAATTTAAATTCAGCGATCATGAAGTTCCGACTCCACCTATGAGGATTTCTTCTGATGCCGAAGTGAATTATCTGTTTGAAATGAACAATAGACACTCGACTCCTGTTTGTGTGACTTTAGTGAGGAAGGATGTCATCGAAAGTGAACAAGTAGACTCAGATGGAGGGGATAACAATGCTAATGATTTTTGGGATACGGTTCAGATAGCTCGTGAAGATGATGCGGTTATTCTAGAGACAGTTAGTCGCAAAATTTCATCCGTGGTTAATGACAATGAGTGAGAAAATGTAAATACTTTTACAGACGAGGATTTGATAGCTTTATCCCAACAGAGACATGAGCAAGGTGGGACCTCAAGGGCTTGATCGAGTGAACCGTTCTCTAACTCCTCCCGTGTGGTTCCCGACAATGAGGATTTGTATGTCGAGCAACTATTTGAAACAAAAAAAAGATTTGCAGGAGGCTGTGCACCTAATTGCACTGAAATACAACTTTGAGTTCAAAGTGAAAAAATCGAACAAGTCATTATTGACAATTGCCTGCGTAGACGACAGTTGCTGTTGGCGTTTGCGAGCGACGAAGATGAACATGAATGAGTGCTTTGTAGTTCGCAAGTACACACGGGAACATACTTGCGAAGTGGAATTACGTCGAAATGATCACAGGCAAGCCTAAGCTTGATTTATTGGTCGACAGATAATACACAAGTATCAGGATCCTCGTACGATCTACAGACTATCGGACATCATTAACAACGTCCGTTGAGAGTACGGAGTAGTCTTGAGCTACCAGAAAACCTGAAAAGCCAAGGAATGTGTGTTTGAAGATTTAATGGGCTCTGTAGAGGAAAGCTATGCTAAATTGGTCAGGTATTGCCATAACATGGAGAAAACTAATCTTGGGTTGAAATTTTTTATTGAGACGAAGGGTGGGAATTACTTCAAATTCTTCTTCATGGCTCTTGGACAATTCATTTAGGGATTTTGAAATGCAATGCGACCCCTAATTCTAGTTGATGGTACAACACCGAAATCTAAATATCAAGGCAAGTTAATTATTGTTACATGTCAAGATGCCAACATCCAAATTTACCCTCTTGCATTTGACATAGTCGATAGTGAGAATGACATGTCGATGCGGTGGTTCTTCACAAAGTTAAGGAAAGTAATCGGAAAAGTCGAAGACCTTGCATTTGTAACAAATCGGGGACATCCTTTAATAAATGGTATTGCTGAAGTTTTTCCAGATGCACATCATGAGTATTGCATGTACCATATTCAAGGTAATCTGAAAATCAGGTATACGAGCAAAGGTATCATTTCATTGTTCAGGAGAGCGACTGAAGCCTACAGTGCTGAAGAGTGTAATAAGTTCATGGTTGAAATAAGAAGTAAATCATTCGATGCATGGGATTATCTAACGAAAATGGGGATGGAACATTGGGCGCGCTCGTTTTTTTCCGGACGTCGATATAACATGATGACTTCAAACAACGCGAAGTGTCTCAATACATTATTCAAGAAGGATCAAGAATTACTCATTCTTGCACTGATTGAGAATATCCGTACCAAGCTGCAGCAGTGGCTTCACGATCGACGTGCAAAATCACAGAATTGCACGAGTGTGCTAGCCCCGGCGCAAAAGGAAAAGCTATTCAAAGCTGCAAAACTTGTGAGACAGTTGAATGTCGAACCACTAGACGAGTCGGGCTTCTCAGTACAATGTACACGCAATACAGCATACATTGTGGACTTGACTGATAAAACATCCAATTGTAAAAAAATTCAGTTAGAGACTTTTTCGTGTCAACATGCAGTCGCGGTTGCTATGTATCGAGGATTTGTAGCTAGAACATTATGCTCTCATTACTACATGACTGATTATTGGAGAGCTGCGAACACTGAGACAATATTTCCTCTATCGAACGAAGTTGAGTGGAAAGTCCCCGACCATATTCGCCCACTCAATACATTGTTGCCACCTCTCATTGAATCGCGTGGCCTGGGACATTTAGTACATCTAGAATATCATCTATCGGAGAATTTCCTCGATCGCATAGGTGCCGTCAGTGCAAATCAGTAGGACATACTCGCCAATATTGTACAAGTCATGTTTCTCTAAATGATAGTTAGATCATTTGGTAATGTTGTCCATCTGAATTAAACAGTGTTTGCATTTATTATACGATAACAAATTAATTGTCGTCGTAGTTAATAATCATTTCATAATACATCACAGTGTGTTACAAACATTTCGTAAGTACAACAAATCAATATTTACAGCGTTCATAATTATTTCGTAATTACAAAAAATTACAATTAATAATTAGAATAAATCTATAGATCACCATTAAAGTAGAATAAGTCGCACGTCAACTTATTACGTCAACTCTGTATCCAAGATTGATTGATTTCATCAACCTTATGTGCTACACTCAGAAATTCAATGTACTTTATTGCAAAAATGCCACAATCGCCCCTGCAAATGAACAAAAATGAGTTCGATCAGTACCGTGCAGCAAAAAAAAATTAAGTATCAAATTTTAAAAAATTTAAAACCACTTACGATATTGTCTGCCTTGCTGTGGTTGTGTCCTGCACGATGGAAAATCTGTCCTTCATAGTCAATCCCGCCTATCTAGCTATCATAGGGACAAAAAAGCAATGGGCTTCAAATTTTGCTCGAGCTAACCTTGTGTCAGACATGAATGATCGGGGTCGTACACGTATATAGTAGACTCAACGAACACAATCTCCAAGGCCATGCAGTGATGATTTATGATCACTAGTATGTACATATGTGTACAACCCTCCCATGACTTCCCCCCGACACGTGGCCACATCCCTATAGTCCACTCGAGTATGTAGTCGGGCACCACGTACTTCTTGTCGGCATGTTGGAGCGAGAGGTGCTCAATGTCAACGCTTCGTCCGAACTCCAAATTGAGTATGACTAGGCCAGGATTGTCAAATGAGCTCGGATATCTTTGAACCCGATCAGGCAACAAGTCCATGGTCAGGTCGATATGCTGCATTAAAAAAATAGCAATACAAAATGGAGTTATTTCATTGCATAAACAAACTATGATGTACAAGTGATAAAAATTAACAGTATGACTACTTCACTTGCAACGTCGACAAGCCAGGTTCCGGAAGTGATGATGTCGTGGAACCACTTATAAGTATTGAAGATCGTCACAGTACCGATCGTACGGCTGGTCCTGACAAAAAAAACAGAGAAATGTTAAAAAAGCGTATACGTGTAACAATCACTGGTAAGTACTAATATCACTAATATCAAGAATACTAACCCGGGCAACATTCTTCTACACTCAGTCTCGATCGCTTTCCACATGTCATGGTCCGCCTCCCGAAATAGGTTGGGGTTCGTCCCATCGACAAACCTCCTCCTCTTCGTCTCAGCTGTGAAGGGAGAGACAATGTACTGTAACGGTACTCTCGGCCTCTTGCCTACCACCAGCTCCGACAAGTCAACAGCACACTTTTTCGGCCCAGTCACGACTATCGTCCTCCCTTCGCCCACCTCAGGCATCGTCCTCTCCTCCGCCCCGACGATCGCCACCTCCTCCACGCTCTCCTTCTCCTTCGTCCCCATCGTCACCACCTCCTCGACCGTTGTCCCGTCCTCGAAAGGGCCCACCATCTCATCTATCTATGTCAACACCACCTCCTCGACCCCCTCATCCGCCATCGTCGGCACCACCTCCTCGACCGTCGCTCCCATCCCCAATGGGGCCACCCCCTCCTCCAACCTCGGGATCATCCCCTCCTCCGCCCTCGGGTTCACCCTATCCTTCATGGATCCAAAAAAAGAGTCTCATACATCCTCCGACTATGACTGTGGATGACCCCCATCTCTATGCTCTCGATCACCCGCCGATCATCACCTCTGTTAACCCATCGTCTACCTGCTATATCACCTCGAAGTGCTATCACCTCATCATAAAGGTCGCCTAAATGCGCGTGTAGTACTCTAATATCATCAGCTATATCCTCGACCCTCCCTACCAAGTAACGTCCCAGATCGTCGACCAGCTCCACCATATCTCGACGTAGCACACCGACCTTCTCTGATATAACTCCTATCAGCTCTCGACGCAGCATGCCGACCTCCCCTGTTATAACTCCTCCCAGCTCTCGACGCACCGCGCCGACCTCCTGCCATAAATCCAATCTGGCGATGGTACAGATCATCAGAATAATTACCCTGAGGGGGAGGAAGTGACGCCGACGGCGGAGGTGATGCCCGATCAACTAGCTCACAGTCTTGTACAAACTTACATATTATTAACTTAATAATTGCTAACTCATACAAAATATTAATCAATAATTCACTTACCCAGTCTCGATCAGGGATCGAATCGAACATCTGGTCGTCCTGAGCATCCGGAATCGCTATTTCATGCATGAGCCCTGCGCCTCATCCTCCATCGACGGCGTCAAATGAGTTATTACTTCAAACTGACATATTGACATTTTAAAAAGATAAAATCATGTAATGTTACACTGTACAATATAAATCACAAATTTATAATACTCACATGAGGGTCGTCGAGGAGAGCCGATAATTGTTTCCCAGTGGGACATCCCTTCGCTCGAGATGCTCACCAATGGTGCATCCGAGGACAGTGTGTCTCCTCTCGCCGCGCAAAGCAGGCACCCAATATGGGGATGGTCTCATACGCTCAGACCTACAACACATAAATTAGTATGTACAAATTCAATAGAAAAAATATTTTAAGATTGATTGTGTTAATCATTTACCTGCAGTGCCAAGGGAAATCCGTACGTGTCGTACTTATGCACGGGTCCCTTTGGCTTCGAGTGCGGTCCGATGAAGATGTAGACAGTGTTCTTGAAACATCAGCAGCCCCATGGATAGCTGTTAAAGCGATCTATGTCGTCGACGATCTTGCGGTGGAAAAGGTCAATCACAGTCTTCTTGTGGTGACACCGCATCACGCTCTCAATGATGTGGACCAGACCTAACTTCAGTATGTCCAAAATCTCGTCACACCTCCTGATTGCGTCCATCAGTTGAGGCAAAACCACAGCCCCCTATCCCTGGAAGTAAGTGTCCTGCAGCCTACTTCTTCTCTGAGTCTCGCCGCTAGCTGCCTCATCGCCCATAATCTTCAATCCAGTCAGCAGGGCAAACTCGAACATGGAAAAGCTAGCGATTTTGCCCCCGAGGTCGAAATAGAGGGCATGGCCGTCAACTGTAGGGGTGTAAGCGGTCCGGTTTTACCGATTTTTGACAAATTTTCAAACCAAACCATTTAAAATGGTTTGAGAAAACTCAAACCTAAACCAAACCATTTTAAACGGTTTGAAAAAAAACTCAAATCTAAACCTAACGATTTGGTCTGATTTTAAACCGCCGGTTTAGCCATATATATTTTTGCCCGTCTACTTTTATGTCATTGATTTTTTGAATTTGCTATATATTTATATCTCATTAGTAACAAATCTAAAACAAACTAAACCCCTGTTTGAACCAAATTTTTGGGACAAAAAAATGAAAATCTGGATCGTTATTCCACAAGTCAAGCCGCCTTTGTTGACCTGCTATTTCATGTGTGGGACCCAACCTCCTCTCCAATAGTTAATTTTCTCATTATGATGATATGAAAAATATGGCTCAAACAGAGGCTAAATATATCTACTATAAATTTAAATATTAACTAAATCAAAGTGAAATCACAATAAACTAAAACATAATTTTTTTTTCATTTTTGTCCACCTTTTTTAGGTTCATGACGATACAATAACATTATAATACAAGTCTACTAAACTAGAATAAGGTCCAAAAAATATAATGATGTCCAACAAAACCTCGTGATCATCATATCTGGAAAAAAAAGATATTGATTAAACAAAGAGAATAACCAACTACAATAATAAAGTAATTGTTTATAATATCTAAACATAGGAATTAAACATGTTTGTTGTATGATGTTACGAAACACATTTAATTTCAGATTCTTACCTTAGTTTGCTCCAAAAAATTATTGATCTGAAACTTTATTTGTAGCAAATATTATCACCGAAAGTCTAGGATCTCTTTGTCTCCGATTTGGTATAATGGACTTCAATTCGACTTTGAAGAGGCATGAAAATCTGTAAAGAAGTGTGTGGTGCCGGTGGCTCAAAATCGTGTTGGGTGTCGACTGGAGTTCATCTAAATTTTGAAGAGGAAAAATGTTTTTGATAGATTATGTTAGTCTTAAAATTATTAAATATATATTAGGATTATTGGATAATAATAATAATAATATATCTGTATTAGAAAATTAGGAATTGATAAAAATACCCATAAATGAGAAAACTATTGAATTTTACATATTTGGATGAATTTTCAAAAAATTTCATTTTTTTATTTTTTTATTTTTATATTTTTTTTTTGCCGGTTCGGTTTGGTTTTAAACCGCAATTAAAATTCTCTAACCTAAAACAAATCATTTTGACCGGTTTGGTTTGGGTCAAAATCATTTCGTTGACCGGTCCACGTGGCACCAAATCAACGGTTTCTAAAATGCGGTTTCGGTTTGATTTTTCGATTTTGCGATTTTTGCTTACAGCCCTAGTCAACTGGACTCAACAGCCGACATAAAAGAGCATCAATCATTTGACCTAAATACTGCAACTCTCTCATAAGGTATAGAGGCCACAGAAAGGACTGACGCAGCATATCTGCATGCTGGTCATCCAGCAGCTCCAGGACCTAGATAAAGCTGTCAAAGTTACTGTTCCACGTAACTTTACTTGGCATCTGTCGCAATTTTGCATCCAGATGAAATCTATCCTGGCAAAATTGAAACAAAATATTAGAACATTGTACATGAAATAATGGAATAAAACATAATAACTCAAAATTAAGCGAACCAAATTTTTAACTATATTTTTAAAATCACAAATATCTTTACATTAAAATTAAAACTAAAATGAAAATTTAAATTTAAAAACAAATAAAATAAAAAATTATAATTAAATAAAAATAAAAATTTAAAATTAGAATTAAAAATTTTAATTTGAAATTAATTTTAAAATAACAAATTTCTT